ATGATGAAGTCACATGTTCCATCATTTGAGGAGAGATGAGTCAAAGCTCGCAATGAAGGTTTTAGACCACGATCCCTGTGGAGATTTCTACAACCAGTAGGGACTTAACTTAGTTGATAACACTGTGGTTATCTAGGACGCACACCCTAAGTTTTACCGTACGCATGTTGTATGGCTAGTGTATCAATATAGCGATATGTTGCTACTCTGGATATGCAGCATTGTGTGGGTAAAGTTTAGGACGCATTACATTTATTATATTATAACTTATTACACACTGCACAAATTAAATAAGTAATTTATAGACGAATTAACCATATTGAATATTGTTTATATGAACCAGCTGAAGCAGTAGTAATTCGGTTCAGTATAACTTCCTTATATATATAGAGATGTCTTTTACATTCTATAAATAGTGGAACTATCAAATTAATACAGAATTATCATATTGAATTTATACGAATGCAACTATTAAAATACATCACGTTGAAATTAGTAATGTTAAGTGCACTTATCTTTTCTGTTGAGTATATTCTACATGAATAGTATAAACTAATAATTAAGGTTGTAATAAATTAACGTTAACTAATAGGTGAAGAAGTGTACATTAAGCAGTTAAGTAAAAAAGATATGTAATTGTGAATATTGTAGGGATTGGGGGGTTTATTAGTTGGGAATGGGAGGTTACCAGAAGTAGTGAAGGTGAGTGTTAATGCATTCTAAAAGGTACCTTTAAACCTACACCCGTGTCACAAGTCTCGGGCGCTATTTGGGGTGCCCTCCCTGAACCATCTGTGACCGGCATCAGGACCTTTGTCGTCATCATAATCAGGAGTAATAATATAACTTTTGAAATTGTGATGAACCTTGCTTATCCTAACCTTCATAAATAGCTGCACTGTCAGATTATATTATAGATTTATGACATTGAAATTATGCGAATTAAAATTCCATTATATTGGAATTATTAATATTACAGGTATTTAATCTTTCCGATCTAGCATATTCTATGTAATCGTATAATCTAGTAATTAGGTAAGGTAGTGAATAATAGGTGTAGAAATAGTATTACAAATAGTATTTTAGGAATCTAGACCTTTATTTTATTATCAACTCTCATTGGTCTTACGATCTCTATTAACGAATATATTTATTATAATCCACATTGCTACTTAATTAAAATAATCAACTATTTACCTTATATTACAATTATTCATAACATATACTCTGTATCATAATTCGTATTATTGAGATATGTATTTATCTCGCAGTTATTACTCATCATATACCAATAAAAGAATCTATAGTTACTACATACACAACGGGTCCACCGATACTAGACGATCACAGTAATTTATTTATATGGCCAAATGATTAAAGATTAAGTGTTCCATTGCGTATTTGATCTATTATATTTAGATGATACTCTGATATTTAGAGAGGGCTTCGTAGAAGATTTTGTAGGTAAGGGGGGAACGTTACAATATCCAGAGCGGGGTGATGAGTATCTTGGTTCACTAAGGGATTGAGGTTTTGCGACACGTTTAGGCAGTTGCGAGTATTAGTAAAAACCAGATCCAGAATACGAGAATTCTGATTAAGGATGTTATTCATTTGTTGTAGATTATTAAATGCCATAGTATCGCAGAAGAGACATTCCACCTCACTGGACATGTTAACTGGGACAAAAGAGTTAGATGCAGTGTCATAATTCCAATGCAAGTTAGATAGATTAAAGTCACCTAACAACAGTATTCGCGATTCGTCACTCAGGTTGTGTATCGTTTCCGTTATATTCGATAGCAGGCGTTCCATACACATATAGTTAATAGGTGGAGCTAAGTATACTGCACAAATAATGAGTTCGACAGCAGAATGACCCTTTGTAATCTTAACTGTCGCCCAAATGTTTTCACCCAATTTCGACTCCCACTTAAATTTACGAGAAGGCTGTAGTCCCTTTAGAATTGCAATCATTACTCCGCCCCCGTCTGTTTTAGAGCTACCAGAAATAGAACGATCACGCCGGAATATATAATACCTGTCATCCAAGATTTCATAGTCGTAAACAGTATCGTTTAGCCACGTTTCAGTTAATACGATAATGTCATAATTAAATTTCAATGCATTAGTCAGTATGGTATAAGTTTTAGTTCTAAGACCTCGAACATTTTGGTAATATAGTTTAAGATTGAATTTTGAACAAAATGTGCTAAATAGCATGGTAGAAAAAAAAAAACAAATAAACAAATAAATAAACTCAAACTACGGCTTTTAAATAGTCCATGTTCTTCACCAAATGTGCTCTTGAATTTGCATCTTTTCTAATAAAAATACGACCATTCCTGACCCAGACAAAATCATAATTCTTCTCTTTGGCGACTTTGCGAGCAGCAGCATGTAGTTGTTTGTTTATCGGAGATAAATGTTCACAGACGAAAATGGGTATTTTCTCTCCAGCAATTCCCAAGTGTAGACGTAGATAATAATACGTTTTGCATTAATGTGTGTGAGTTGCGGTCGTTATTATTATCTTTGTAATGCGTGCTAGCTTTGTGGGATGAAGTTTGTAGTATGTGCGTTCTATGTATGGAGTCAACACTAGACTCGGTTCGTGGCGATGTCTGTAAAGTGCGTGGTACAGCTGTAGATATTAACGCACCACTGTCCACACGCTCGTTGTGTATTAAAGTGTTATGTTTTCTATTGCAATGCTTACACGGCCCGAACCAACAATCTTTAATTGCGTGACCGGCGCGTAAACAATTGCTAAACAGATTTTTGTCGTTTATGTACTTTATTCTATTATCGATAGAGTAGTTAAGAAATTCATCACACGCATACAGCGGGTGATTCTCCTTACACAAAATACATAAATAACGCTTTGAATATGACGAATTTGATGATTTATTATTTATGTTTTTCTGTGTAGTGACGTGACTGTGTGTGACTACTTTTGTTGATTCGACGAAGGTTTCCTATTATTTACATCTACGTATTTAGTTTGAGATAATTTAATTGTTTCTAATACATCAGCTCTGTCTTTGAGAAATTTAATTAAACTGACAACGTTAATCTGTGGTTATTATGTGAAATTGTACTTTTATGTAGTTCCCACTCTCTTTCCGTAGACGAATCTAATTTTGTGACGATAATGTAGATAATTAAAGTATCCCATTGTTCAAAATCTACCCTGTACCATCGTAAGCACAGATTATTATATTAGAGTCCGTTAGTTTGTGTTCCCGCGGTTTCTGTTCCCCTCCCTTACCTACAGTACTGAACTGACCGTACAGCGGCCTTGACGCGCGCGCGCATTGTGTTGTGAATTAAAATAAATTAGAACTGTGAAACTGGAAAGCTAGCGAAGATATCTTCGAGACCCTGAAGCCCAAGAAATCCGCAGAACCATACAGGTACGTGACAGACGCTTCCACACATAATTTTCCCTATATATATACATAGTAAATTCCCTAACATTTTGGTAGCAGAGAGTATTTTCCCTAACATTTTGGTAGCAGAGCGTAGTTTGGAAACCTCTGATTACATTTGATCTGGCCTGTTCCGTACCCGGAACACCCTATTAATTGTTTATTACAAATAAATCTGTGCTTAGTTTGCCTTAAATTAAATTAATACTATTACATTACTCGTCTTGACCTTTGACCTTTACCTATAACTTGTGATCGTGTTTAACATCGTAAATTAAAAGTACTATTTGCGTATATAAACCTAGTATTTTGTTGAGTAGGTGTTTACTAATAATTAATACATTTTAATAAAAGTTATAAATGTATCATTGCATATTAGCGTAATGTATTGATATAAATTGGTGAATTATCTTAACGGTTACATCTACCTACTAAGTTGTCAATATAAAGCGGCCCGTTAGAATTGTTTCGCTTGGTACCTACATTATTTTATTGTAACATCTCTATTCAGTGAAGATAACACTTGTTATGATTTTGAACTGGTTTTCTGTATGCGAGAATATTGTGTTTATGGTACTTTGTATGCTCACACAGAGTTAAGTAATATTTAGGTACATTCTTGATTTGGTTGAAAATATAGTTGATTATTGATAATATAATAATAATTTTTATTATTATATTTTATTTGGCCTTTATAAATACTCGTGAGTTATATCTTTATATTTTATTAAATATTCCTTTTGTTTGTGGTAATTAACATTTAAAATAAAGATATCGAATCCTAATGATACGGTGAGAGCGTGTTTATTCAGTGAGACTGTTGAGTATCGTCAGTCAATGGGTACTGTTCGATTAATCAGTGACTGGATTACGGATGCTTATACTTTGCTGCCTTCTGCGTCACGTGATAGGCTTATCGTGCGGCTTTCTGAACTGAATGAGAACTATGCTAAATTTAATGAAGCGTGTTCTTGTCTCCTTGGCGGTTTTGACCCGGTGATTGATACGAAGGAGTATAAAGATACCCTAACCTTATCTAAGTCAATGCGGCCTATGGTAGATGAGTTGCGGCTTAGGTTTAGTGAGTTGCAGCCTGAATTGTTCCATGATCCCCCAACAGAGTCGAGTACTCCTAAGCGGCTTCCATTAATATCTTCCCCTCTAATGTGTATTAAAAATAAACTACCCGACTTACCTATTCCTACCTTTAATGGCCAAAGCGGATCCTATTTAAGCTTCGTCGACTAATTTGATAGTATTGTCGATTCCCAGCCTGACCTTAGCCCTACTAATAAGTTACAGTACCTTGTTGGTGCATTATCGGGAGAGCCTAAACGTCTACTATTACATTTACGTATTGAAGCAGAGAATTACCCTATCGCTCGTGATTTGTTAAAGCGGAGATATCATAATACGCGCATACTGGCGGATACATATATAACACAGATCCTTACCTTACCTAACATACCCCCTAAATTGAATGGATTACGTGCTTCGTTTCTCAACCCATTGTTAACAGCTTATCGTTGTTTGGAACGCTTAGAGCTACCTGTGACTAGTTGGTCATATATGCTAGTGCACATATGCCTTAATAAGTTGCCCCTGGAGTTAAAGGCTCGTTTTGAGCGGCGTTACGGTGGTGATAGTGATCGACTGCCCCAGTTTGATCAGATCATCACTTTTTTAGAGGATGAGTGCCGCCACTATGATAATGTAGGTGATGCAGCATTAGTAGATTCTGCCCCAACTTCCCGTACGTTTGAACGAAGACCCGAATACTCGCATACCCAACAATCTAACCGCCCGCGTAGGGCCTACGTTTCCCAGGTACCAGTTTCCAATAAGAAGTGCCATATGTGTAATAGTGATTCCCATTATTTTTTATTTATTTATTTATAATTCTTTATTGCACCAATATTAAAAGTAGATACATAAAAAGAAAATAATATATAACAATACATTAAAGAAAGAAGAAGGTACAGAAGGCGGTCTTATCGCTAACGCAATCTCTTCCAGACAACCTTATGAAAGAGAGTATAAATAAAAATAAAGTAGGCGGCACGTGGAGTGGAAATAAGGTAACAAAATATAATATATATATATAAACTTACTTAAATAAATTAAAATGAATAAATACATACATACATTATTTACGTGAATGTCCCCAATTTCGTGATATGAACCCACGTGACCGATCTTATTTTATTAAATCGTCTGGCCTGTGCTATCGATGTTTAGATAAACATTCGATAGGTCCTCCCATCACACCTTACTGTGTTTTAACAATTCTCGAGATCCTGTTTATCCTAACCATCAGAATCGAAATAATACAAATTATCGCAATGCTCTTGTGCATAGTGCACCGCGTACATCACCTCCCCGCACGGGCGGGGGCCGTCCCCCTTATAACAGCCGTACTCCCTGTTGTGATTCGTTATCACCTGCACGTCGAGCTTCTCCTCCTACATACTCACGACAAGATTATCGCCATACGTTCCCTCCCCCCGCGGTCACTTCCCGAGATAAAACATACCATAAGTCACGTGACCTCCCCGACCATTCTATGCATACCAACCATAGACGGAACTCGTCCCAATAACTAGGCCCTGTATCCCCCCTGCTTTCTCACCACATATGTCTATTCCCTCCAATTCCCTAGTCCTCCTACCTACCGCCATTATTCATGTCAAATCGGCTTATGGTTATTTTATAGAGGCCCGTGCGTTATGTGATACAGGCGCACAAGGTTGTCTGCTTACTACCGACTTAGCTGTTGAGAGATTGAATGTCCCCTTATCATCAAATTCAGTACCTATTCGCGGTATTGGCAACATTCAATCTGTATATTCCCGCGGGTCTATCTCCTTACCTTTAAACCAGTTCATAGATCGTATCCTGTGATAACAACCCCTGCAGTGGTTGTTGATGTAATTGCAGGCCCCCATCCTGAGATTGAGTTGCCTAGGCCTGTCGTTAATAGTATTAATCACCTTTCCGTAGCGGACCCCTCCTTTTATAAACCAGGGCCTATTGAGGTATTGTTAGGTGCCGACGTGTTCGGTTATCTTATGCAACCTGAAAAATCGATTTTTCTTCCTCATGGTCTGACCGGCCCTTCAACCGTTTTTGGTTGTGTGTTGTCTGGACCTGTTGCTGGTTATACAGCTATTGTATACCTTAGGACTGAATCCTCTTCTGGCCATTGCTCCGTCCATCTCCTCATTTCTAAGAGTAGGATTGCCCCTATCCGTATTCGTCTCACAATTCCCTGCTGGAATTGCAAGGAGCTGTGCTCCTCACAAAATAAAATTAATTCATCACGTTACCATCTGTCTACAGAAGGTAAGCGTGTTGGATGCTATCCACAGTTGGACGGATAGCAAAATTGTGCTGGTATGGATAAAGATTCCTCCTCACCTGCTTCAAAAATTCAAGCAAACCGCGTGTCTCAAATCACCTCATCCGATTTCCCTTCCGAGTGGCATCATGTTCCTGGTTCTATTAACCCTAGCGATTGCGCTTCCCGAGGTCTTAGAGCATCGTCTCTTCTTAACCATGATCTATGGTGGTCTCCTTCCTGGTTGACAGAGTCCCCTAATCATTGGCCTATTGGTGCATGTGACGGTTCACCTATACCCATAAGTATATTACAAATATTTAGTTCAAAAATTGTATTAGATTTTAAAAACAATTCAGTTTAGGACTTTAATTCACTAACTAAACATTGATTTAATTTCTATAAACTAGATTATTTAAAAAATAAAATAATTATAAATAGAAACATCATATGGTTTAATAAATAAGATATATTAAATAATTTTACGTAAAAACAATACAAAAATAATATTAAATAAAAAATGTTTCAATCTTATTTCATAGAATTCATCAGCTCAAAACGATAGCTTTGATTTACGCACACTAATGTATATCATTATTAACACATACACATTGGTAAACAAAAATGTCTGTAAATAGCCAATATGGGTGTTAGAAGGAATTAGTCGGGAGTGACCGTGAGGTGAGCAAGTGTTTAATTAATTATTTTATTAGTGGTTCCTGTCGAGCATCTCGGTAAGTGATTTAATTCTTTTACTTTAAATGAGGCAGTCTGAAATTTATTGAGAAGATAATATTTAGGATGTGTTTATCCAGCTAAATTTATAATTGCAAATAATAGGATTATTAAACTCGGTTAGATGTATGTTAAGTCGACTTATGGCCATAATCTAAGCCTTGTTTAAATGTTAGATATTAAAGTTATAATAAGATTGAGAGCCTCTATGGTTTGGTGGCTTAATGTACGCTGTTTCCTGAAGTCGCGGGTTCGAGTTACATGCGTAGCGCATGTAAACTATTATGCATACATACACGTATAATTAGTAAAAATCACGGGATCCTACCACGTTTTATATTTATTTACTGAGTTCCCGATATTTCGGTAGTGTTTCAACCACCATGATCACGGGTAGACTGAAGAGCAGCGGGTAGATGGAAAATGAAATCTTTTTATGGGCAGACATATGCGTCTACCTTCACACGTCTTCGTTTGTTGCTACTACTGGAACTCGCTCGATATTCATCTCGGCAAACTGTACTCACAGTATCTTTACGTACATTTAATACATTTTTTGATCGCGTATTTTGTTTTTGTTTAATTAAACCAATCACTGGATTCCAGGCATTAGAGAGCCTATAGCCGTCTTCTCGATTGAAATTTTTATATTTCTGTATTTCAATGGCCTCTCTAACCATTCTTGGGATATAATGCCGTTCTGATGTTAATAATTTTTTCATACGTCAAGGACTCCCGACAATTTGTCCAAACCCTGGAGCACATAAAATTAAATGAAAAGGAAATTTTGGTGAGTTTCGACGTAGAATCTCTATTCACTAACGTGCCGATATCGGAATGCGTCGAACTAGTAAAGTCAAAATTACAGGAAAATAACATCCCGGATGAATATGCAATATTGCTTGAGCATTGTTTGACTTCTGGTTACTTGGTATATCGGAATGAGTATTATCTCCAGGTCGAAGGAGTAGCCATGGGTAGCCCCGTGGCTCCTGTTGTCGCTAACTTATGGATGGAGAAAATTGATAATTTGGCAATTTCAACAACTGCATTTCCTGTAAAGTTGTGGAAGAGATATGTGGATGACATATTTTGTATTTTGGAGGGAACGGAAACCGAAGTTATGCAATATCTATCCTATCTAAACAGCATCCATACAAAATCAAAATTTACAGTTGAAATAGAGAAAGAGAGATCCTTGGCTTTTCTTGACATCAAAGTTACAGTCCAAAAAGATGGGACATTGGGACACACTGTTTATAGAAAACCAACTCATACGGACCGATACCTGCACGCTACATCACATCATCATCCCAGGCACTTTGACTCCGTAGTATCATCACTGGTTGATCGGGCTTATGACCTGTGTGACAAGATACAAATTAAAGAAGAACTCTTACACGTAGAAGGTGTACTACGGAATAACGGCTATAATATAGACATTTCTAGATGGCGCCATAAACACAACAAAAGCAGACGCCCCAAATCATGTAGTGTGAAACGTCAAAAAACTTTCTTGCCTTATATTAAAGGAGTGACTGATAAGATAAGCAGACTATTGAGTAAATACTCTGTAGATACTGTTTTTACTCCGCACAGAAAAATAAAGCAAATGTTACGTTCACCTAAGGACAACTTTCCTCTACAACATCCTGGAGTCTATAAGGTGGACTGTAGTTGTGGGAGCTCATACATCGGACAGACAAAAAGAACAATAGCCCGTCGCATTGCTGAACATATAAAAGCTATTAAAAACAACGATCCACGTAAATCAGCCATAGCGGAACACTTGTTGGGATCGGGACCCAATCACTGGATTGAACTACACCAACCAAAAGTGTTAACATCAGAACGGCATTATATCCCAAGAATGGTTAGAGAGGCCATTGAAATACAGAAATATAAAAATTTCAATCGAGAAGACGGCTATAGGCTCTCTAATGCCTGGAATCCAGTGATTGGTTTAATTAAACAAAAACAAAATACGCGATCAAAAAATGTATTAAATGTACGTAAAGATACTGTGAGTACAGTTTGCCGAGATGAATATCGAGCGAGTTCCAGTAGTAGCAACAAACGAAGACGTGTGAAGGTAGACGCATATGTCTGCCCATAAAAAGATTTCATTTTCCATCTACCCGCTGCTCTTCAGTCTACCCGTGATCATGGTGGTTGAAACACTACCGAAATATCGGGAACTCAGTAAATAAATATAAAACGTGGTAAGATCCCGTGATTTTTACTAATTATACGTATAAATAATGACCGCGTCAAGTTTAAAACAGTATATGCATACATACATGTGTATAATTTTGTTATTTTCTATTATTGAGTTATTGTGTGCATGTTAGTATTATAAAATCATTTTCTCTAGGTATCTCTAGGTCTCTATATGTTTATTTCCTTTTTTATAATTTGTGTGATTTTATTATTTTTATATTATTGTTTTATTTTGTGCATGTTAGTATTATAAAATTAATTTCTCTAGGTTCTACATGTGTTTATTTCCTTTTCTATAAATTGTGTGTTTTACTATGTGCTTAAATCCTATGTAATTGTACATCATACAATGGGTAAAATATATATTAGAATAATTGAATCTTTACGTACGTTATAGTCTCTAGAAATTCGTGTATCGGTTTATATTAATTTATTTATTTCTTAGGCATATACGTTATACAGGCGTTTGGTACTTTCTTGTTAGATGTTAAGGAATTTCCTCGTGTTAAAATCTTCAACGTTTATAGGTAATTTAATATTTACAATAAGAATTCAAATAATAGAAAATTTACTTTAAATAAATAAAAGTAATCTGATGGAGTTATAATAGAACTTTGTTGCACTTGTGTAGCTATTAATAATTCAATTACTTGCCAACGGTAAATATTTCCCTTACTAAATTCATCTATTAATTATTTATTTCAAATATTTTATTACTCACACTGAATAACTAGCTTTGTAGTGTTCTTTGTTTGTGATAGTAATGCAAGGTTGCTATTTCAAATAGAGGGATACTGCCTGGTTGGGATTTAGTACTTACCCATACTACAATTATATACATTCTACAAAAGGTGTCGCATGGGGGAGTTCGTGGTTACTGAAGGCTTCACTAGAAGAAGGAAAATATTTGTATCGATGATTGAACTATTGAAGTGACATTTTCCAAGAGTTTTTGATGATATATTATGATCCGTAAATCTCTATGGAGGCTTTAGTAAGGAAGTATAATTTTTGTAATAGTTGTGGAAGTTTCCATCAGGAGGAGAGAGAGGCTCAGATCGATGAATCTATGATGAAGTCACATGTTCCATCATTTGAGGAGAGATGGGTCAAAGCTCGCAATGAAGGTTTTAGACCACGATCCCTGTGGAAATTTCTACAACCAATAGGGACTTCTGTTTAGTTGATAACTATGTGGTTATCTAGGCCTCACACCCTGAACTTTACTATATGTGCGTTATATGTGTGGTGTATCAATATAGAGATATGTTGCTACCTTGGACATATGGTGTTATGTAGGTAAAGATTTAGGACACATATCACATTTATTATATAATACAAATTATACACTGCACAAATATGTATATAATAGATGAATTAATCCGTAATCAATATTATCTATATTAATCAGCTGAAGCAATAGCAATGCTGTTCAGTATGACTCCCTTATAGATATAGAGACGTATTTTGCTTTCCGTAAATAGTGGAATTGCCTAATTATAATATATAGTTATCATATAACAACAGATATGTAATTGTGAAAATTGTACGCATTGGGGGGGTTTATTAGATGAGATCTGGGAGTTTACCAGAAGTAGTGAAGGTGAGTGTTAGTGCATTTTAAAAGGGTCCTTTAAACCTACACCCGTGTCACAAGTCTCGGGCACCATTTGTGGTTCTCTCCCTGAACCATCAGTGGCCAATATGAGGGCCTAAATCGTCATCATAATTAGTGGGTTTAATAAACGTATACATATAATAATAATAATTTCAGGACAATTCACACACATATAAAATTATAATTACTAATTAAACCGGTATCTATTAATTCTTATTGGTTATTATTAGAGTATTTCTTCGGTTCTTTATTAATTAAGATATTTATTATTATTTTCCTTGTTCCAGTCAATTCAATAAAATAGAAGTTTATTTTAAGGTCTTTGGCCTTAATAACAAATACTAATTATTTCAGTGTATATGCTCAACTTAATCATATTAGGACTCTTAGTCCCTTAATTTATATATACATATTATATATATATGTTTATGTATACGTAAATATAATCACTTCTATGGGCTTCTGTCCTCAATCTATATATATTTATGATTATCCATTTATATGGCTAATCATTTCATCAATTATCTTAGGCTTTGGTCTTTACATCTAAGGACTCCGGTCCTGTATCACATCGACTGTCTACCTAGTGGATGTTCATACATCACAATAATCCATGTCATAGACTTTTGACATTATTATCTATATTATTCTGATTATTTCACTATGTAATTAATCAAATCTTACTGATATATATTTGGACGTGCAGTCCTTCTATAAACTAAACATTATCTTCTGGTTGGTTCATCATGTGGATCATTCAGATATCTCTATTTAGATTTGGGACTTATAGTCCTCGCTTATAATATCTCACTAATATAATGATTACTTTGCTATGTAAGTAATCTTATTTAAATATAAACAATCATAACAGAGTCTAGTTCTGATTAACGAATACACAATCCTTATTTCCTCGAGTATTCTTGGTATTAAGGACATTTATAAATAATACATGCTATGTTTGTAATATAGCAATTATTAACATTATATATTGGATTGACCAATATTGTGGTGTTGATGGCATCGGGCTATCATACCACTCTACTATTTATCGTACTGCAATTACGGGTGATCTCCAATGTCACATTATAGGGCTGAAAGGATACTGGGATCCATTAGTAAGTTCTGGCTTTTGAGTGACCTCCTAGTTTCTGTTACGACTCGTATCTTCAGTCTGATCTCCACTGTCACACTGGGGCCGGGGTGTTCCCCATTAGGTGGGCTCTGTGACTGAGTGATGCTGGGATTTAGTTTCGAGGTCGGCAGTCTCTTTGACGGTCTCTCTATCGCCTCATGGAACTGAAGGGGTCAATATCCATAAGTAAGCTTCTGTGTCGTGAGTGATCCTGATTTCAGTTCGATTTGCCTTTGGCAACTATATCTTTTTTTGTGGGTAGCTGCACATCAATACACTCAAATAAAAAGTGCTCTCAGATTATATTAATAAATAATTATTATATCTATATATTTTTAAGTTTTTATATGTCAAACTACAAGAGATAGTGTATTTCTACCTGTACCAGTAACATTGACTCCTTCCAAAAACTCACTATGGACGCACTACAAGGTACATTTTTCAGTATGATGGAACAATTAAACGAAAAGATTCAAAATGATTTGCAAAAGATTAGCACAGCACCAAGCACCACACCAAGCACTGTGTCTTCGATAACTGCTAACTTTGCAGTATTCCAAACATTCGTCACAAGTACTTTCTGCAACCTTCAGCAACAGCTTGAACTGCTAGCTAACCAGATGGACCAATTTGAGATGCGAAGTCGAAGAAAGATCTTGTTATTACATGGGGTACAAGAGTCCAGTGGCAGTAATACTTCGCAAGATGTAGTCAAAGTTGTTGCAGACAAATTGAAGATCCCAGGCTTCACTGTAGTTAACATCAGCAGATGTCACCGAGTGGGACGAACATCTGGTGACAAGCCTCGTCCTATCCTGGTAAAATTTTCAGATCTTGCTTTACGGAATAAAATCTGGTTTGCTAAGACTGGGCTCAAGGATACTGGTATCACAGTCTCTGAGTTTTTAACTAAAGGGAGACACGAGGCTTTCATGTGCGCTCGACGCCACTTTGGTATTAAGAAGTGCTGGACACGCGATGGATTTGTGTTTATCGCCGGAGATGACGGCACAAAACATCGGATCACCACCATAACGGAGGTAAACAAACTTATAGGCACTCTTTCTGCCGCTGCTGCGGTTGCGCCGGAAGCTGTCAGTTCGGTTACACCAGAAGCTAGAGGGTCAGTTGCACTGAAGGTTTCTGCTGCGGTAGCGGCCCGCAACAAGCGAGTCGCTAGAAGGTGATCGTGATTGAGTGTTTGTGATGTTCCTTCTTATACTGTAATCATTTAAGTAATGTGAGTTCTATGTAAGCATATCTAGTTTCAAAACTGTTCGTAACTTCCTCTTATTTTACTTTTATTGAAATGTAGGTAGTTCATGGTTTTATTACTGAATTAATACGTAACTCACTTCACATTTCTATTTTATTTACTTTTTTTCCTAATTTTTGTTATTGTTATATTATTCTTGATATACATGTTGACGTTCCTGATAGTTTGGTTTGACAACTTAATAATTAATCACTGACATCTGTCATACGTCATGTTATATGTCAAAGACCGCGAAACATTGTAACAGTCACATTATTAGAGGAGGAACTTGAAATCACTACGTTTATCTCTTTCACTTCGGTCTATGTAATTTCATACTGCCATCAATCATAGACATCGAATCTATGATTAAAAATTATTTTTTATCGTTATTTTACCTTGTTTTTACTACTTCACTTATTTACTTTTACTTAATACTACTTTTTTTATATGCAATGTTAAGTTAATTGTTGAATCAAAACTTACTTGTAATATCGTACCGAATTGTAAAAATGTGTCCATATCTTACTGTTCAACTGGCGGGTAGAGGTACTGTCTTTGTTTTTATTTTTTATTTTTTATTATTATTATTGTAGTTAGGTATATCTTAATTTATTGTTATTGTATATTATTGATTTATTTTTTTATAAGTATATATTTGTGCAAGTAATGATGTCAATGATGCAAGACGAAAGTTTTCACTCCGCTTCTTCTAGCGTTAGTGACACCAGCTTTTATAGTTTACCTACTCCCTTAGACGAAATTCTGCAAGCTGAGTTTGCCACTGTAAATAAAAATTTTAATGTTGTGCATATTAATGCGCAGAGCATTCCTGCTCATTTCCCAGATATGCTGGCGTCTTTTGATGTCAGTAATATACATGCTATTTTAGTATCTGAATCTTGGCTGAAGCCTTGTCTCCCATCTTCCTGTTACTCATTGCCTGGCTTTGCTCTTATCCGAAACGATCGTATTGGTAAGGGTGGTGGTGGTGTTGCTATCTACCTGCGTTCACATATTCCATACAATATAATTTCCTGCTCAAGTAGTAACAATCCCTCCACTGAAGCAGAACACCTTTTCACTGAAGTCAGTCTTTCTCATTCCAAAATCCTCCTAGGCGTTGTCTATAGTCCTTCTCCTACAATTGATTACTTTACTCCTTTAGAAAACCTGTTAGAGAATATGATCCCATCCTATGAGCACACAATAATTTTAGGAGACTTTAACACTTGTCTTATAAAAAACGATTATCGCTCACATCGTCTCCGCTCTGTAGCTAATTCCTGTAACCTTACTATCCTACCCCTGCATGCCACGCATTACTTCCCTAGCTGCAAACCTTCCCTTTTAGATCTTATCCTCGTCTCTTCTCCTAATCTCGTCGATAAACATGGTCAACACACTGCGGATGCCTTTTCATTTCATGACCTTATTTTCCTATCTTTCAGAATACGTCCTCCAAAACGCAGACATAAAATCCTCTTGCAGCGTAATTTTGGTGCTATCGATTTAAATCTTTTGCGTGAGGATGCCCTGGATATTGATTGGACCTCAGTTCATAATACAGCATCTGTCGAAGATCAGGTGGAGATGTTTAACAAAATTGTCACTGACCTATATGATCGCCATGCTCCTGTTCGACCTATTCGTGTGAAGCATCTACCTGCGCCTTGGTTAACAAAGGAAATCAGGGACATCCAGGCCATAAAAAACAAGACGAAAGCTAAATTTAAATCTGACCCGGATAAATATCGAGAACAATATATCAAAGCTAGAAATCACTGCAATAAGGTGTGTAGAGAGGCACAACGTCGCCATATTCATAAATCTGTCGAGAATGGTAATCCAGCCAGAGTCTGGAAATATCTCAAATCTCTAGGAGTTGGTAAAAATCGTAATTCTATCAACAGTTCTTTCGATGTCGACTTAGACAACCTTAACAGGGACTTCTCATCTTACGTTGTTATTGACAACAACATTAAAACAAATACATTAAATTTCCTTTCAACTACACCAACTCCTGATTATCCATGTTTCAAGTTTAGTCAGGTTACTAATTGTGATGTTGAGAAGAGCCTGTTATCTATCCACTCTGATGCCATGGGTACTGATGGTGTTGGTCGTGCTATGGTCCACCCCATCCTTGATATTATCCTCCCTAGTATTTCCGCTATTTTCAACAACTCACTATCCTCTAGTTTTTTTCCTCCCATTTGGAAAGATGCCTATATTTTTCCTCTTCCCAAAAATAGTAAGCCATCTTCTTTTTCCCATTACCGTCCTATCTCAATTCTTCCTTTTCTTTCTAAAGCCCTTGAACGACTTGTCCATGATCAGCTGAGTAAATTCCTATTAAGAAATGACTTATTAAATCCACTCCAATCAGGTTTTAGACCTGGACATAGTACGACCACTGCTTTAGTTAAAATCACTGATGACATCCGGCACGGAATGGATAATTTGCAACTAACAGTTCTTACATTACTGGACTTTAGTAATGCGTTTAATTCTGTAGATATTGACATTCTGTTAGCACGCATGCGTTCAATCAACATATCTCCAATGGTAACTGACTGGTTTCGTAGTTACCTGTATGGGCGCCGGCAACGTATACGTATCGACAATACCCTTTCATCGTGGTGTCATACTTCTGCCGGCGTTCCTCAGGGTGGCGTCTTATCTCCTCTTCTTTTCGCGTTATTCATTAACTCTATCACCATGCAACTTCATTCCTCATACCACCTTTATGCAGATGATCTTCAGATATATACACAAGCTTCGTTAAGTGACATTACTACTGCTATACAGACAATTACTAGAGATCTGGACGTAATATCTGACTGGTCTAAATCTTTCGGTTTGGCGTTAAACCCGGCAAAAACTCAGACCATAATTATCGGTAGCCTACGTTACATAGCCAAAATAAATTGGAGTACCCTTCCGCGAATAGAGTTGGATGGAGTATGTATTGAGTATAGTGACAGTGTCAAAAATCTCGGCATCCACTTTGACAGAACATTGTCATGATCAGTTCAAATGGCTGAGGTTAGTCGGAAAATTTTCATGGCCGCAGGCTCACTCAGAAGATTGGGTAATTTCCTGCCCATAGACACCAAAATTTCGCTTGCACACACCTTACTTCTTCCTATCCTCGATTATGCCGATACCTGCTACCTAGATCTCACCGAAGTCCAATTAAATAAACTTGAGCGCCTTCAAAATATTTGTATTAGGTTTATATTTGGACTACGCAAATATGACCATGTCTCTCGGTTTCGTTCACAGCTCAAGTGGCTCCCTATACGTCTACGCCGGGACTGGCATATCCTCTCTCTTCTTTATTCAATTCTTTTTAACCCTGCAACTCCTTATTATCTCAAAGAAAAATTTGTATTTCTCGGTGAGGCACAAAATCATGGCTTACTCAGTGCAACAAACCTATGTCTTAAAACTCCTTCCCATACTTCCTCCTTCTACACCAATTCTTTCGCTGTGTACGCCGTGCGACTGTGGAACTCACTACCATCCTCCATACGTAGCGCTCAATCATTAGCTATTTTTAAAAATGCTGTAAAATCACACTATCTCTCTCATTAAATTGTCTTTCTACTATCCTTTTCTTTCTACTAAATTGTCTCTTTCTTATTTGCACATTGCTTAGTTACTGTGTATTATTACTAATTTACTTTTTTAATTTTATATTTATATTTATATTATGTATTATGGGACACAGTCACCTAGATACATCAAAATAATAATTGCATTTAATAATGTCTAGTAAGACAAATTCAATATTGTCTACTAGGCACTGCTGTATCTAAACTGTGTCACCCCACCTTACATTTTCCTACTTTTATTTAGTATATAAGATCATTATTTCTATGTATACATTGTCAGTTTATCATCATCTGTAATATACATCGTCTCGACCAGCAACATCGTATTGTTCACCCGCAACAGTGGTGACCCCGACGTGATCTGGCCGACGGGAAAACGACGAGATCAAGCAAGAGATCTCTGGCTGACGGCATCCTGCGCACCACCAACGATTGCACATTTCCACCGGTTTCCCAGAAGCGGGTCTCACCGGTACGGAAATTCAAGAGGCACAAAAATCGTTGGCTACACTGCGCAACAAGGAACCCTGCCATACTACTGACCGCCATATAATACTGGCCAGCTGTTCAACTCATCACAACGTTAACAATGGCTCGTCCTATGCCATTAACAGGAACAAACATGCCTAGTACACCGGGCATGTCTGCCACTAGCTGTATAGACATCGCTGCAATAACCGTCACAGAGCGGTTACCTGAGTTCTGGACAGACTCGCCACGTTTGTGGTTTGCACAATTTGAGGCAATAATCGCACCTCAAAAACAAGGCGACGAATATAAATATAATACAGTAATATCCAAACTGCCAAAAGAGGTCGTCCACCAAGTCAGCGATATACTTACAAATCCACCACCAGAGAATAAATACTCAGTCATTAAAGACAGATTGATCGACTGTTATGAGGAGAGCGAGCAAAGACGTTTCCACAAACTGCTCGCAGAAATGAACCTGGGAGATCAAAAACCGTCCCAGTTATTGAGGAAAATGAGAGAAGCTGGTTGCGGGAAAATTAATGAGGATACCATCCGAATATTATTTATGAGTCAGCTTACTCCATCAGTCACAACCGTTTTAGCGGTTACTGAGCAATTGACGCTGGACAAATTAAGCGAAATGGCCGATCGCATACATGAAAATATGCGATTTAATACAACAATGCAATCAACAGGCACCGCTGACGTAAATACGGTCACACACCTGTCTTCACAACTCGCGACGCTGCAATTAGAAGTTGCTGCACTACGCGAAAATCGATCGCGACACATAAACCGACGCAGCAATTTCCGATCTAGATCAAACTCCCGCCGTCGGTCAGCGAATAGACAGAGTAATAATTATTGCTATTATCATCGTAGATTTAAAGAAAATGCATATAAATGTGACCTGCCGGGCTCCTGGAACCATAAAAGACAGCCGTCGGAAAACTAGGCTCAGCACAGAACAAGGCGGAACTCTGTGCTGTTCATCCGTTTAACCGCCTAGCTATAACCGACTCTAACAGTGGTTATAGATTTTTGGTGGATACCGGAGCAAATATCTCGGTGATCAAAAAGCAAGCACAGACCAATGAGAGCGCTAGCGAATTAAAATTATTCGCCGCAAACGGAACCGTGATAAAGACATACGGGGAAAAAA